AGCTATTGGGTTGTTTTGACCCAGCGGTTGGGTTCAAAACAACCCAACCGCTGGGTCAGAACAACCCAATAGCTGGGTGTATCCCTTTTTAACCCAGCGCTGGGTTATATTTAACCCAGCATTTTTTAGAGTGCACACTAATCTGAAAATTTAAATTTACTGTCTTAAATTTTCAAGTAAAATCAAAGGGGTGCCAAAATGACAACCGAATGTAAATTCTATTTCAATGCACATTTTAACCATTTAGAATTTAATGATCAATGAGTAAAAAAAAAAAGCTGAAGCAATAAAATCTTATAAAATCATAACAGAAATGATTGCAGTTCACTGGATGACAACTAAGATGCCACGACAATGAAAACCACATTTACAATGTTGACTGCCAAACATTCAATGTGAACTAAAAATAAAATTAAAATATACAAATAAATGGAAACATGCATCCTTTCTATAGAGCAACAAAGTGTTTAACAGTCAGTTGTTGTATTAATAATATTAAATGATGATTTACTTACTGCCAACATCCAGTTTGGTGCCGCTGCCAAAAGTGACCCACGGTGATAGAAACTAATAGAGCAGCTGAACAAAAACCTCCTGAATGCTTCACAAACTGCACAAACACACATCAACTGAGTCTCCAACAAACACATCCACTCACAGCAGACATTACCTTACTTTACTTCATCTGCTTTATGCAGTCTGTGTTATTACTAAAGCACAAACCTGAATTTCTGAAAAAAATAAAGAAAAAAAAATGTATATCATGTGATGCGACACAATCAAACTCAGTTGATTCATTGATTGACAGAGACACGTGTGTGATGATCCTCATTTCTGTAAAAACCTGCAGGAACAAGTTAATTTATGAATTAACAGTCATGTTTCTATCCAACTACAGTCAAAAATATTCTCAAAGTCTCACAGGAGAGAGTCAGGTTAATATACTAAAGTTGGTTTTGAAGATATATTGAGAATTAAACGGAATGATACCATTTTTAATAGTTTGGCTAATAGACGATTGAATGCTATTAAAAAGACTAATTATTACTAGATGTTCTCACTTCAGGAATGGTTTTTTATTCTAGGCCTATGACTGAGACTGAGTGACTGTCTTCATGTAAATGATGTGGAGTGTGTTTGCATATTGATCAGATGCTTCAGTGCTCTGAGAGTGTTTATAGTGCTGTGAGTTTAACACTTCATCACTGACACACACAACAATCTTCATCAACATGACCTTCATCATCATCTTCATCTGGACTCTTTCATACTGCTTTACACTACAAGGTGACTAGTATATATTTGAATCATTTAAATTATATAATTTTATCACTTAAAAATATGATAAGTAGCCTAATATATATTTTATAGACTCATAAAAGATTTGTTTTTCAGGGTGTAAAGCTCAGATCACAGTCACTCAGACTCCTTCGGTGAAAACTGCCACACCACGAGAAAATGTAGAGATGAGCTGTAAATTCAGTAGTAGTGATACAGCCTGCAGCCCACCCTGTGTGTCCTGGTACTTACAGAAACCTGGAGAAGCTCCTAAACTCCTGATTTATAGAACAAGCACCATCCAGTCAGGAGCTCCATCTAGATTCAGTGGCAGTGGATCTGACAAAGATTTCACTCTGACCATCAGTGGAGTCCAGACTGAAGATGCTGGACATTATTACTGTCTGGAAAGCTTCCGTGGTCCAGTGTTCACACAGTGATAAAGAGTCGTACAAAAACCTCCGTCAGTCAGAGTCACAGTGATGAACTGATGCTGCAGCTGCTCAAACACTATCACTCACTACTGACACACAGAGACCAAACACAGGAGTGAAATCAGCTCTCTTAAACTGTGATCTGTCCTGTGACAGATGGATTTGACTCAACTATGGTCAGAGTCAGAGAGAACAGAGTACGTAAATTGATAGCAAATCAAACAATAATGGTGCCATATGTTGTTTTGATTTTGTAAATTGCCATTTTGACCCTCCTCTACAAAATGGTGGATTACTCAGTAAATATTCATCCATGACATTTAATATTTTGGCTTTCGTCATTATACATGTCTGTCTTTCTTCAGAAAGCTAGGGAATTTTTTTTTTATTTGGTTGATTTGACAAGGAATGAACCTGTTATGTTTTACATGCATCATCTACTGTAACCCATACACAGATTTACATAGAGATGATTTGCATTGCAGCACAAGCTTCAGGAGGTTTTATAGCTCTGTGAGTTTGAACACTGAGAATCTGAACCAACAGCAACCATGAGCTTCATCACCATCTTCATCTGGATCTTCACTAGCTACTGTTTCACAGGTGAGGAAACAATACTCTAACTGATCATCTGCACTAGAAATATTGTTCAACAGATATTTTATTTTGAATGTTTATTCATTATTCTTGATGTAGAATCAGCAGCTGAAGTGACAGTCACTCAGACGCCTGCAGTCAAACCTGTTCAACCAGGAGACACAGTTACCATGTCCTGTAAAACCAGACCTGAAGTTTACCAGGGTTGGGGTTTTCAGCCTCTATCCTGGTACTTACAGAAACCTGGAGAAGCTCCTAAACTCCTGATTTATTATGCAAACGTCCTCCAGTCAGGAACTCCATCTAGATTCAGTGGCAGTGGATCTAACAGTGATTTCACTCTGACCATCAGTGGAGTCCAGACTGAAGATGCTGGACATTATTACTGTCAGGGTATACACAGCATCAGCAGTAACTGGGTGTTCACACAGTGCTAAAGAGTCGTACAAAAACCTCCGTCAGTCAGAGTCACAGTGATGAACTGATGCTGCAGCTGCTCAAACACTATCACTCACTACTGACACACAGAGACCAAACACAGCAACTACACATGAGCTCAAAACTGAGTTGAGTGTCCAGTGAAAGTGAAGAAAAAAATGAAAAGAAAAACAATGGTTTCCAGATTCATTAGCACAGAAAAATACTTTTCACAAGAACGCATAAAATGTAGTCAAGTAGGACAGCATCAATTTGTGCATATAAAATATTTCATAAAATCAATTTGGAAAAATAAATAAAAATTATCTAAATATGAAAACATAAATAGCATTTTCAGTGTCAGTGTCAGCAATATGAATCTATACTGCATTAAAATGATTACCTGATTTTCTTACTGCCAACAGCAAAAATGCAGTGAAACAAAGTAATAGTGCAGCTGAAAACTCTTGAGCTCTTTACTAAGTGCACTTTAAATACATCACACAAACATATTTACACTCCAGAGACATCCAAACTTCTAAAAAGAAAAAAGAAAAAGAAAAAGTAGAAACACATGCCATTGTAGCATGAAACAATGAAACACAATTAAGGCCACAAAATAAATCAGTTCACCAATCTAGGGAACTCAACGATGCGCCCTCTAGGGGGCACAATGGGAAATGCAGCCTGCATGACCGGTATCTGAAGCACGTGTTAAACAACGCCAACCTATTGGCCCACATGGCCCTTGACGTCATAGGTAGGGAGCCCGGAAGTATAAAAGGGCACCTGATGAATACTTCATCCTCTTTATAGTGTTAGGAGAGATAGAGACATGGGTAATGGGGGGGATGTGGTATTTTTATCAAACAGAATATGCATTATACGGTAATGGTAAAAGGAAAGGAATTGGAATTTATAGTAATTGAAGTTTGGACAAATGAAGGAAATATTAAAATAGTAAATTATTATAATCCGTGTAAGAAAATAACATTGGAAAACATAGAGGATATGATAGTGTTAGGAGAGATAGAGACAAGGGTAATGGGTGGTGATGTGGTATTTTTATCAAACAGAATATGCATTATACGGTAATGGTAAAAGGAAAGGAATTGGAATTTATAGTAATTGAAGTTTGGACAAATGAAGGAAATATTAAAATAGTAAATTATTATAATCCGTGTAAGAAAATAACATTGGAAAACATAGAGGAACTTGCAATAAATTTAGAGGGTAAGGTTATTTGTTGTGGAGATTTTAATGGGCATAATACGTTGTGGGATAGTTATAATGATTCAAATGGGGAGGTAATAGAGGAATTAATGGAACTAAAAAATTTAGTATGTGTAAACAATGGAGATGGCACTAGAATAAATGTGGTAAATGGGAAGGAAACGGCAGTAAATTCCAAGAAGTTTTGGGAATAGGAGAAAGAAGATAGTCCCATGGTGGACGGAAGAATGT